ATTTCCTTTGATAGTAAGGCTTCTTATGTTTTAATGACGCGCAAACTTAGATTCGTAAGCTAATGGTGTAATTGATTCACAAGTACGGCATGTTTACGTTATGCAAACTCAGTGGGATGTCCAATTGTCGTTTATGTAAGCGAGTATAAAAAAAGCAAAATCGTTATAGATTATCACTTTTCGAAGAACAAAAAGCTAATATGAATAACATTGAAATAAAACTTTACACTGTGCGCGCAAATTAGTTTCGAAACATCGTAAAAATCGCTTGAAATATTAATGATGTGGATAAATATCTCGATTGATGATCGATTACGTATAGTTTCGTAATTTTATAATTTATCTTTTTTCTCTGCGAGGAAAATCGAATATAATTCATTCAATGTAAAAAAGTAAACAAACTCTCGTTCATTAATGAACCATAATAAATTGATTAAAATTTGTCGTAAATAATTATTTACGGTCAATGTAAAAAGTATCATAGCGACATCTCCTTGATTATATTCTTGCCGTCTTTTACATTTACACATATTGTTAATTGACACATTTTAGTCGTACTGTTAAAACGTAATTGCACCAAATTCTACACTCAACCGTACAAAATTACCATTTCAAATTATTTAAGTTGTATTTTATTTTACTCATTAAGTATTAAAAAAAAAAAAAAAACACAGCAAGACACAAAGTGTGCTAAATATTCTTGATAACAATTGCCGATGGTTGGAACCTATCATCGTGTCAAGTATCATTGAGAAAAGCATCCTCGTAACAACGTCGGAATTGTAATACGCACCGGTAATGCGAGAAATTGCCGATCCTTTCATGAAGAATTCACAGATCATGAGATGTAGCGAGTGTATCTCGATATATATCGGCGGTACGTCATAAGACCGCAAACGGTATGCCGGCCGTGCCGGTCCAATAGCCGGTTATGCAATTTCCAGTCCTCCCCCTTAACCCCCAGCTTAAGAAGGGTCCAATCCAAATGTACATTGTAGACGTCCCTCATATTTTGCGTCACATCACCCAACATCTTGGACCGATCTTGCCGATTATGCGTCTCACATAATTCGCGTGCGTATACGCGCGTTTAATCGATTTACCTGAACGAGTGGCAGCCTGTCGTTTACGTCCGAGCACGCCGTAAGGACCCGTCTTCCCACAGGGAGGACGACCGTGACGGCGACGTCTCGTACCCGGGATCGTTGATTGATTCGTACCACTGTCCGATTGATCGCGCGCGATTCTGGAGACCGTGCGACGCGGAATCTCGCCGCTGTCGAGAGTTGGTCGCGGGCTGTTGTCAAGGGATAGTTCCAACGGTGGAGGAGGCGTCCACCCTCGCCGCCCCCTGAACCCGCACTGCCGCCCCTGGGCCACCGTCGCCCTCCGTGCACCAAGCGTCGTCGGGACGGCAATGCGCAGGCGTCGCAACGCCGGCAGTGCCGCGTTTTAAACCACCAGCGCTCTTGAAAGGTCTTGCAGGGCCGTGCAGATGACGTACACTCATGATCTGAGACAGCTGAGTCTCAGCTCTCTCTCTCTCTCTCTCTCTCTCTACCAAAGAAGCGAACGTTGTGACAAATGAAACATTTTGCATGATGCTCGGACACCCTAAGGTGGGTCAAAGCAATTCGTATAATTATGAGGACGAAGGTACATGTCATTAAAAACGACACGCTATAAATACGAATGCTAAGTTTACATTGACGGGACAGAATTTACGGATCTTGAGCCTGTTGCATTATGCAAAAGTTTGTGCTCCCGATTTAACGCTTTTATGCGAACGTTATTCTGATTGTAGATATAAGACACGTGCCTATGCGAGTGTTGGATAATAAATGCGAATTGTGATTAAAACACTCTAATCATTATTTAATATAATATAAAGGTTTCACTAATGATAAATGGGAAAAGGAAATCATAATAAAAAAACAATCATGCACGCGCGCGTGTATAATGACGATTACGTAAACGTATGATTTGTAGAGTCCCGATATGACATTAATTAGGTTGGGCATTTATTTGAAATACTTTTATTTGAAAAACAATTTGAAATAGAAGAATTTATAAGACAATTGTATTTTGTATTTCAGCGGAGCACATGCAAATATTTGTATTTTATATTTTAGTATTAATAACAAAAAATTGAAAGTATTTTAAGTAAGCAACCAATAAGAGATAAATGCCTTTAACAGTCTAACTAAAGTGTTAAAGGCATTTATCTCTTATTGGTTATCTCTTAAGTCTAGCTTAAGTGTTTGTATATCTTTTACGTGAATTCAGTGAATTTAAATGTTACGTATGTAATCCTTAATTTTTTTTTTATTTTAAATGCTACAATTGACGATAAATTTTATTATTGGAATTACAAAATAAAAAATTTTTCAATTTTTCGATTTTAAACAAAATACGTAATATTTTTATGTGTTCTCCGTTGAAATACAAGCTACATAATACACTTGCATTACAAAAATAATATAAAAGTTTTCAAATATATATGTTCAGCCCTGTATGACACCCTCGGTTTCTTCGTTGCGCAAAACTGTAATACAGAGTCTCTGCGTTGTCTTTACCCTCGAAAACGTTGCAACAAAAACTAGAATGGTAGATCCAGCTGTTGCACTGTCATCATAAATTTAATGAAAAAAAGTGCAAAACCATAGACATAGATTTTAGATCAATTTCTAAAACAGTTGATCGTTTTTGTGTATACTATAAAAAAGAATTATATCCGTGAATAAATATTCTACAAGCAATTATATTTGTAAAGCGTCATAAAGCTGGAAAAGCACAGACAATAGAAACAAGGAATAAAAGATTTCAACCTATCAGAAAGCGTTCATTCTAGTACACATGGTGTCTCTGATAGATTTAAATTTTTTATTCCCTATTTCTATTGCCTATGTTTTTCATTGTGTTTCTAACTTTACGAACTTATAATAGTCAGGCGAAACACTTGTGTGCGTATATTAAGAATTGTAAATGAAAGATACTCAGATAAATTTATATAACTATTGAATTTTGAAGGATCACGTTTCTAGAAAAACACTTGATATGGAATTTAACATAATTCAGTATCATTGTATCGCCGCACCATATTTTTGTTTAAACGAAGAAGATGCAACTAATTATCGTTTATTTAGACAATTAATGCTGTTGTTAAATGAAAGAAAAATTATGAAACGAGGAAAAGAAACTTGTATGAAATTTACTATATTACTAGAATTAAATTAATAAATTGACTTTGATATATGTATATTGTCAAAGTCATGACCCTGAGTTCGACTTTCAACAGGTTTTAACCGTCGCTCGTTATTTGTTAAGAAGTTATTAACAATTAAAGTAATAATATCACTATTTTGCATAAAAAGTGGATGACTTTGGACAATAGGGGGAGGTATGGGGAAAATCAACTAGAAGAGTACGACTTACCACGCGAAGCGAGTTCCACTTCATCTCCCCTCCCTTACTTAGGGGCGCACACCTTTCCAAATAAAGCATGGTCTACCCCCTTTCCCTCCCCCACCCTGCCAAATGGGTGCACAATTATGAAATATCAGTGAATTTTTTTATTTTAAAACTTTATTGTAAAATTTTAATAATTTTTATTATATTTATAAATGTATATTTAATTAAAATAATAAAATCAAATAAGACATAGGGCTATAACCCTATCGACAAATCGACAATTTTATCTTATGCACTGGACTGCTGTCCCAAGCTTATGTCCTTTAATTAGTTGCACGTTACACTTAAAATATATTAGTTGTTTATTATAATTGTGTGTTATATGATATTTTATTATATATATTATTATATAATAAACAATTGATAATACAATTATTTTGTCGTACATTATAAGAAACTTATATTTATTTATTTATTTATTGTAATGATTATTTAGAATACGGTCTAATATGCAAGAAACGTTATGTTGCAATATATTATTTGAATGTTCCAAACGTTTCTTGCTCTTGGAGAGTATTTGCTTTGCGTGAAAAGTTGTAAACCCATGAACGATTTCATATGAGTTTACAATTTTTCACGCATAGCAACAGTAGAGCAGAATTTTTTTGACATAAGTTTTTTTTGCGGGTATTTCATTGCACTTTACTTGCTTAAAAAAATGTTAAGTTCAAATTTTGTGCATTTATGAGTAATATTAAAAATACATGCGCGCGCAGTTTACGCCACTGTTCATATCGACTCACTGATTGGTTGCTACTTAGTGATTGCCTCTGAATGCACCTTGACTGTGTTCGATGTGTTCATCGGATGAAACAACAAAATATCGTTAGAATCTTTAAAAAACGAGCCCTCCTATTGGATATTGGATGTTGTATGTCGAATGTAAATTCGTAATTTGCTGTAAAAAATTGGCCAATCACAGTTGAATATAACAAAAATAATCGACCATGATTGGTTAGTATCTTACAACTTATGAATTGCGACTCTATTGTGTAGTGAGCCTTCTACAATAAGCCATAAGTCATAAATCGGAAGTAAGAAACTAAAAATTGACGACTGTGATTGGTCCATTTCTAGCTTATGACATGATTTGTGACTTACGGCTTATTGTAGAAGGCCCATTAAACCAGGCATTACTGTTTATGTCTTACGTCTTAAGTTTTTCTATATCCAATAGCCTTATGTAGGATTTACACTGCACCCGATGTGCGTCGTACAACGACTCTGCAACCAATCAGAAAAATCGTATCATCAGTGCGAAGCAAAATCCTGTTTTCTGATTGGTTGCAGATTCGTCATACGACGAAAATCGGATACAGTGTAAATCCAGCATTATCATAGCAACATTTTTTTCGATGGATTTTGGAATGTAGCCTATTCACTGACAATGAAGCGATTGGTTCTTATTTATAAATCTATAAGTAACAACCAATCTCTCGGTAAGCTGCATTCCGAAACTCATCTAAAAAAAGTGTAACCTTTAGTCTCTGACATATATATATATATATATATATTATATACACATTTTTCTTGCTTGTTGACAGATTGACAGCTGACAGTGATACTAGGTGATACTATATATTTGACATAACTTTTTGATGAACGACAGTGTATAATATTGCTTGTTACGAAAGGTTCTCTTAACACACGAGTATGATCATCGCAACATAATTTGATGGTATTAGCCTTATTATATCTACGTGTAATATAAGATAATACTTGCATAAATCAAAAGAATTTAACACTTGTGACAATACGTCAGAACTGAAAAAGAGAAAGAGAAAGGGAGAAAGGAAGAGAAAAATTAAGACTTATTTTTGAACGCGAATTTAATTATATATATGCATACAGATTGAGGTATCTAAAACAGGCCATATGATTAACTCACTTGTCTACCACTTGTTTTTAACAACAGAAAGAAAAGTGCTAAACAAAAGTTGCTTCGTTTCGAGGGACATCTGAGTGACGTTTATTAATACTTTACAGTTCTTGAAATCTTACTCTCATTGAATTTTTTTGCGTTTCAACTCCAGAGCTCAAATTAAACAGACCTGAGGTCTGCCCTATTCTGTAACTCTTAATGCAAGTTTCGTTATCGTTATAACGCCACTGCGCAGCCTTTTATTATGGTAAAAAGCGTTGTAACAATAACGAAACTTGCGTTAAGAGTTACAGAATAGGGGCCCTGTTCCAGACAATATAATTTAAATTAACTGGTAGTTTTTTTTTTAACATGGCCAGAGACATTACCGCGTCTCCTGATTAGTCATTGAATACAAAATGTAAATATTTTAAATTCGTCGAACGATAAGCAGAAACGATTCGATGCACCAGTTGTCATTCAACTTCATAGAACGTATTTCGCTGATAAATATATGGCTGGTCACAAAAGACAAGTCGATACTTCTATTTTAATACTTTTAAATACGTAGAATAACTAAAAGAGTCATATTTTGTAAAAAGATAATATAATTCCATTAAAAAAATAAAGATGATTTTGTAATCTCTGATGCGCTTGCATTCATAGAAAAAATATTATATCCTTCTTGATGCTACATAATTTCAGCAAATATATTATTTCATATCTAAAAATAACAGGGATATTATAAGATAAGTGGAGAGAGTTCCATTCTGTGCATATAGAAATTTAGATAATTTTAAAATAGAAATGTTATAGTGTTTTGTTTTTCAGACTATATCTATATAAAGCGACTATGTGCAGGAAAAAAGTTCGAAGTGACAGACAATTTGACAACGTGGATTACACACATCTTACAGAAACCGATAATGATTTCTTTGATTCACAAGTGAGTAAAGAAAAACAATATAAAAATTCATTCACTATTTATTATAATGTACTATTAATTTTAATTGTTGTGCTTTTAAGAATATATTATTTATTTTTTTATATTATTTTATTAATTCCTTTTAGTAATGTTATATTTAAAATTATATTTTGTAAAAACTATTTTTTAATTTTTAGTTTGTAAAGCCACCAATAAAAATACCATGGAAGGCTATTATGTTAGCAGCTCTGCTATTTATTGGAGGTACTGTTATGCTAATTATGGGAAGTTTAATTGTGAGTGGACACATTGATTCAAAAGTAAGATTTATTTTATTGCTGTAAATTATTTTAAAAATTCCAATTTATATTTTTGTGGTTTGTATATGTACGTTATATTTTAAATAATAGTTTTAAACAAATATGAGGTGTATCTTATGTAACATACTCTAATAGAGTTAAAGATATATTCAGTGTTGTGTATGTAACAGATGCCTTTTAAAAGATACCTAAGTATAGATATAGGAAAGTATCTATAATTACAGATACATTAAAAAAAATTGCTTAGATATAGGTACAGTATAGGGCGCGTTCCATTTGATGCTCGCAACGCTCATACAATCATTTTATCCTTATTGTTTATCACATGTTAAACAAGGACAAAAATGTTCGCGAGCATTGTAAACGCCAAATGGAACGCATCCATTAAAAAATACCTGAAAGATTTAGAAGTATTTGTTATGAAAAACAAATTGCGTAAACAAATTTTATTTTACATTAAACTACTATTTATGTAGTATTTGTAAAAATGTTTAATTAATTGTCATTTGTCATGTTTTTTAAAATTAGTAATGTTTCCAACATTGTATTGTTAATATACACGCACGCACACACACGTAGTGGGTATAAATAAATGTCTATATATACCTATGTATATCTAAATTTCTTTAAATCCCCTAAATAGACATCCGATCTAATTGAGAGGATCACAATTCCATGGTATCTAAACTTGAAAGGTATCCTACAAAAAAATTACTCAGATACAAGTATAAATGTCGTCTATAAGGACTTAAATAATGCATTTAGATACTGCTAAAGTAGAAGTGCTTATATCTTCGTATATTACAACACTGGATATATTACTTGATTATTCTAAATACCTGTTCACAAATCATATATATATATATTTTTATAAAAATTCTGTTACATTATAGTATTCAGATCGGATATGGCCAGTGATAATTTTAGGAGCCTTGATGTTCATACCGGGAGCTTATCACATGAGGGTAGCTATCTTAGCGTATCAGAAAGTACCTGGTTATTCTTTTGATGACATACCTGAGTTCGATTAAAATTGTGTGTATGTATGTGTGTGTGTGTGTGTGTGTGTGTGTGTGTGTGTGTGTGTGTGTGTGTGTGTGTGTGTGTGTGTGTGTGCGCGTGTACGTGCAATACTTATTAATTTTATTTGAAAAAATCAATTTATGAAAAACTTAAGAGAAATACTGTATAAATATTTGTTTATCCAAGAGTAAATTACATAAAAAGAAAAATATAAAAAAAAATATTTTTTGTGATGTGAGTTTATATAATGAAAATAGTGAAATTTATATGACACACATTTCTAATAATTTATAACAATTACCACTGCGTTCCTTTATATATCTTCTCTACATTTATACAAATGTCAAAAAACTAAAATGTGATGTTCAATTATTTAAAATGTGGAAAGAATAATTTTAATGGAAAAATTAATTTAGTTAGATTAAATTAATTTGCATTTATATAAAAATAATTGTGATTAAAACAGTATTTATTACAAAATTATGTAATTATAATATATAATACGTTTACATGCATTATTTTCTTAGCCCGATAAATGTACATAAATGTTATTATAATTATTTACTATTAGGGGAGACCGGAGCACCATGGGTCACGGGATATCATGAACCATTGACTGTTTAGAGAAATCCAGAATGTTTAGGTTGATGCAATTGGTATCATATGATTGTTATTTAGTTGCCCATACTATGTATTATATCTAGATGGCAGAGATCAATTTCCGTTATCTTTCCGTACACATGCCGTTAAAGAATTTCATGGTGAAAGTGATTATTTTACCTCTCACAATTTCTTTTATGTTGTTTCTATAAAGTATAATATATTTAATACGAGTTATATACGTGATTCTACACATCTTTCCTCATTTTCTCTGCAGTGCAGGTAATTATTTAACTTCGATGTTATTTACCGTCTTTTATATTAGATTCATCGGGGTACCATGGGTCATATGTTAACAAGCGTTTAGAACAATTTGCGTACTTGCAGAACCGTATATGCATAAAAAAATTATGTAATCGTATTTTACGTGTGTCGTTATGATATTATATGATAATATGATATTATCCGTGCTATAATAGAAATTATTTACCACCTGTTCTGATATTTCCTCGGTCAATTTCTACAATCACAGATGATTAGTGTTCCGCAAAACTCTTTGGATTTGGCCACTCCATCAGGCTGGATGAATATTCAACTCTGTTCGAACAATACATTTTATGAAATTTTCACAGTACAAAGGGTAATTCCATCACTTTTGATTTTTGACAACCATGAGAGTCAAATATCTTTTTGAATAATAGAGACAATTCCAGAATTAGTAGTGAATGAGAAAGGAGCAGCAGATCAAGTCTCGAAATAATTTAGAAGTCCTGCAGATATCAGGTTATCCTAAAACAGAACATCGCTCAAGCACTAGAAAACATAGGCAGCATGGTAGCAGCAAAATTTTAACTGTTTCTCCAGAAAAAAACTCATAGAAAAGAAGACAAGAAAAAAGGATAAGAAGATTTCTAAGAGAAAATAAAAAGATTAAGATTTTACAAAAAGATATTAAGATTATTTATTCAAGAGATATATTGTTTGTTTGTGAGATATTATTGTTTATAAGACATATTATTTCGTTAAGATTATTTGTTTGAGATTCGTTTGACTTTAGTGATTAAATAAATCATTTTTGGACTTCATTTATGAAATAAATCACTTCTTTAAATTTCATTTATTGAATAAAGCTACTTCTCCTATGTGACTTATAGTGCCCCAGTGTCTGAATCATGGTACTCCGTGACCGGAATACCATGGGTCATTTCTAAAAATTTATTTTTCGATTTTTATACTTAAAAAAATAAATCAATATTTATGAAAAATGCTCAATAAATCTTAAAATATAGATTATCTCTTAATTATATAAAAAAGATGAGACCAAAAATCTTACATTTTAATGTATTTTTTACTGTTTGCATTTTTGTGACCCATAGTGCTCCGGTCTCCCCTATAAGTATAAAAATTCTTAAGGTTATTTACTTATGTCTTTGTTTATTATGTGTAGCTTTATACATACAAAGTAAATAGACGAGTTTAAATAAAAATTTAAAAAATATATACATATATATATATATACATAAACAGTAAAATATGTTTCTCTATATGATAAAACAATTAATAAAGTTGCAAAAATATAAATGTCCGTAATATAAAAAAAATAAAAATGAATTACAAAATTTTGTCCTTATATAATATTTTAAATGCAACGTCACATAACATAGAAATAAAATATAAATAAAACATATATGTTAATGATAATATGTTTTCTAAACACTATGTGTATATTTTTCATCCAACAAATTAAAAAATTGTCAGCTTTTAATTAAACTAAATACAATACGTATAGAGTATGAATTTAATAATTGCAACGTTATAAAATAAAATATCTTTTTTTAAATTTTAAAAGGATAATAGAACTATATTTTAACATTTCTCAGTATTTTTTCTCTTACTTTTTGGAATAATTAATATTAGTTGATATTATAGTTAATAATTAAGGAATTAATCTATTGTTTGATCTCATAATATATTAGTATCCGAAAATTATAAGTATGATATTAATTGCAATGTTCGGTCTTTAAATAATTTATAATGCTTTTACTTTGTAATTTATATATTCTACCTTTACCTGGCATTAATAATATAGGTGGATCAAATCGTTTCAAAACATCTCTGACTAATGTCTTTATATTCATAATAATTTTATTATCATAGCTCTGGAAATCTTCGTAATGAAACTGTTCATTAATCGATTTTATCTGAAAATTAATAGATACATAATTGAAATATAAATAATTATAAAATAGAAAGAATGTTATTGCTAGTAAATATTGATTAATAAGCCAGATGTGCCCAAAATATTCTAAACATAACTTATAACAATCCCGTTTGTAAAAACGTGCTTACCTCCAAAATAAGATATACTTTAATTTGATGAGGTTTAGCAAATTCAATTGCATGTCCAAAATTTATTATAAGACATTTTAATAATTGCAAAAATGTAAGATACATTTCTTCTTCTGTTAAATCAGTATTTATAATGATGTATGTTACTGGCCACAACTGTAATATGTGAATAAAAATACAGAGTATCATATATATCATACACACGCACGCACATACGCGCGCACACACAACACACACATACATACAAGTTGTCCCACTTTAAATAACGATCTCAAATTTCTCTTATGCATTTTAGAAAAAAATGTTTCAGACAAAAATTTTGTGACTTCGAAGGGGGCATAAGAAGGTACCATTGTTGGTACTTAATAAAAAAAATATTTTATTATAGTATTTTGGAAAGCTTTCAAGGTAAAGCTATAAGAATATGTAATGAAAAATGAGATGTTCCGTTTAAAAAATTTAAAGTAATCTTGCCCTGACTTTGACAACGCCATCCAAGGTCATCAATGATCTTATGTTTCCCTCAAAGTCACAAACCTTTTATTTGAAACATTTTTCTCCAAAATGTACTGTTTAAGAGAAAATTAAGGTCATTTAAAATGGGACACTGTATATGCAATTTTTAAAGTAATTTAAGAATTATTAATGTTGAGAAAAAAAATATGCAAAAATATTATATATATATAAATAAGGAAACTATTTTGCATAAATTAATTAAAGTTATAGCCTGTTTTTACTGTATCAAATAAAATTGATTATGTATTTACCTTCACTGCTGGATAGATACCTATTCCTTCTGCGTAATTATATACCTGTCTTGCTAAATTTTCATTTATATGAATTAATGTTGAAATTAGTCCGCGACACGTTGTGGTACTTAATGCAAAAGTATGTTTAAGTACTAAGTTCGCCATCTCTGTGATTAAATTCACATTTTTTTTTGACAAAGCTAATATTATTAATTTGTCCACATAACGAGATAAATCTAAAATGATAAGGATAAATTTTGTTATAAATGTTATTAAGAGTATAACATAGTCAAAAATTGTTATATTATTACGAAAATACAATAAAATTATAAAATTAATTTATGATATAAGTATTATAATCACAAGGGTATCCTTTACTTTACCTATGGGATAATACTGACTGCTCTGATCTTTAAGTAAAAATTGAAAAAGAAAAAAAGCATGTTCAATAAATTCATTACAAAATGAATCCAATAAAATGTAAATTATTTTGTGTCGTACATGCTCATCATTAATGGTACTTTTAACAAACCACTTATCACGACTAGTATGTATAATATTTTTATCTGAAAAATTAATATAAATAAATGAAAAATATATTAAAACGAGATAAATAATAATTTAAAAAATGAAGATAATTTGAAATCTATTTCATGTCGATTTTTTATAATTAATAATGAATTAATATTTGTCAGAAATAAATTATGTCTACTGTTAAAGAATTTTATATTTAAAATATTTATTAATGTTTTTATATTCATTAATATTTTTTATAACGCGTGTTTGTTATTATTTATACGTTAAAATTTAAAAAGCAATTTATTTCTGTAAAATAAACTCACATTTAAGTAAATCACATGCTTTTACTGCCTTTTTGTTAGCCAAGTAAATCTCGGCCGATAGCAAGAAATATTCGGCATTACATGGTAATTTATGCATATTAAGTGTTCGAATCAAATCTAATGCAAGCCCCCAGGCTTCGTTATCCACTAAATTGATCAAAATGTCTAATCCTATGTCAAATAAGATTTCACCTAGAATATCGAAGGTACCCATTTGGACTGAGAAGTCCAAATGTATGAATTAGGTAAAATTATAAATAAAATTTGTAGTCTAAAGTTCATTGATATTTTATTTATTTTATTATATTACACATACATAAAATATATGCAATACATACATCGTACGTTATTCAATTAATAAAGAATATTCTTTTATACTTTATAAATTAAATAAAAATATATCTTCGAATATCCGTAATAAATAAAAAAATGTATAGAAAATGTTAATTGTTATAATATAAAATTATATAACTCGTCATATATAACTCTTGATACTTAAAATCTATATATATTACGTGCAATATATATATTACGTATAATTCATATATAAGTTGTATTTTTCTCTATATACATAGCAATAACGGTTCTTAGATCTAGAAGTCTTCAGATTATGACTACTTCTTCATTAATATTAAATACGAATAATGAAAGGGAAACGATTAATGTAGCAAGCAGATTATACATATAGTATATATTATAATACAACCTATATTTTCCAACATCTTTTAAGTATTTTATTTGTCATTAAAATATTTATTACCTGTGCGACGTATGATGTTTTTTAAGTGGTATTCTGAACGTTTTACCTCTGTACGAAGTATATTACAACAAGAACGAACAAATAATGGACTTTCATCTTGCTTTTCTGTGTAAGTTTTTAAAATATTAATAACGTAATCATAATCATGATGTAAAAGTCCCTTTTTAAATCGATCTAAATCTACATAAAATTTCCAAAGATGGTCATGATCTCTATAAACGGATCGCGTATCAGGTAAATCATCTATAAAAAAAATATGTATATATATATATATACCTATAGATGTTTTAAAAATTTTATAAAAAATATATGTACGCATAAAATATGCATGCGCGCATGCAAACAAGCACAAGTAAAACTATTCTTTTTTTTCTTACATAGTCAATAATAATATAAAATAAATAATTACCGATAGGTTGTATGATATAATTTCCGACGTTTGTTTCCATATTTATATGGTCCTT